GTCACCTCCGGGGCAGGCGGGAATCGAACTCATGCGGAAACGGCTCTAGCTTCTCAGTGCTGTGCTTTAACCCGCTGCGCCACCAGGGAGGGCCTAGCTTGCTTTTTACCTCTAACAAAAGTAGCAGGGAGGGGACAGCTGACAGCCACTCTTATGCCACCCAGTCCAGGCTAGAGAGTCTGGAATGGCTGGGAGGGTGGGGGTAGGGGGAGGGTAGAAAACCCCAGGTAGCTGGATGGACTGGACGGCTCAGCAAGGGTAGGATGGAGTTGGACTCTCAGGTTCTTTGGAAGACAAGGAACTGGTCGCGTGCCTTCTGAAATCCTCCTCAGGTATAAGACCCTGATCGGAGGAACCCTCAATACCCCTAACCCAGGGACTCTGGGCTGGGTGACCTGGAGAGTGGGGACTAGAACTCCGGACCCCGGTCCCACAGGAATTCGTGATGATCGTGGTGTTCGGTCTGGAATACATCATCCGGGTCTGGTCCGCGGGCTGCTGCTGCCGGTACCGAGGATGGCAGGGCCGCTTCCGGTTCGCCAGAAAGCCCTTCTGTGTCATCGGTAATGAGGCCCTCCAGGCCCGTGTCTGAGCCCTGCCCCAAGCCCCAGAACTGACATCCTGACCCCAACCCTGACCGGGACCCTGGCTGCTGAAGGACTCAAGGACCCGCTCAATCTCCCTGAAGGACCCAGGAACCCCTGACCGCAGGACTTGATGGGGTGGGAGAGGGGGTTTCTGCTGGAGCTGGCTGTGACCGCCTAGCGCCTCCCTCCCCTCCACAGACTTCATCGTGTTCGTGGCCTCGGTGGCCGTCATCGCTGCAGGAACGCAGGGCAACATCTTCGCCACCTCTGCGTTGCGCAGCATGCGCTTCCTACAGATCCTGCGCATGGTGCGCATGGACCGCCGAGGCGGCACCTGGAAACTCCTGGGTTCGGTGGTCTATGCGCACAGCAAGGTGAGACCCGCGAGGGCGTGTCTGGGGCGGGGCTACTGCAGGCGAGGCCCGCGGGGGTGTGTCTGGGGCGGGGCTACTGGAGGCGAGGCCCGCGGGGGCGTGTCTGGGGCGGGGCTACTGGAGGCCAGGCCCGCGGGGGCGTGTCTGGGGCGGGGCTACTGCAGGCGAAGCCCGCGGGGGCGTGTCGAGGTGGGTGGTGTCCGACCGAGGCTGGGAGACAGGGCTTCAGGGGTAGGACTGGAAGGTCTACTTGGAAGCTTCTGCTTTCAGGGGACTCGGCACAACCAAGCGGAGAGCTGGGGCGGATCTGAGTGACTGTTGTAGCGTGGCTTGATGTGAGCTGCTTCTAAGTCTGCAATTTGGGCTTGGGGATCAGGAAAAAGGGTGAAGGCCTGAGCGCGGAATACAGAGGGTCCAGGGGGTGGGCCCCGAGATTTGGGCCATTTCAGGAAGGCGGGGAGGGGTCTTGATGGAGACCTGGGAAAGGCCCGCAGAACCTCGACTGCGAGCTCCAGAGAAGTTGGGAACTTTTATCCTCATCCAGAAAACTGCTAGGCTAGTCTGGGAGCCTCCCACTTCCCCACCTTTCTCAGGTGGGCACAGTGTTCCTCAGGCTCCTTTGCCTAGGTCTGGCCTGTGATCTCCCCTTTTGCTGCCCCTGCAGGAGCTGATCACCGCCTGGTACATTGGGTTCCTGGTGCTCATCTTCGCCTCCTTCCTGGTCTATCTGGCCGAGAAGGACGCCAATTCAGACTTCTCCTCCTACGCTGACTCGCTCTGGTGGGGGACGGTGCGTGAGGGTCTGAGCAGGCCAGTCCTTCTCCCTGGGACCCCCCATCCCGGCCTGACCATTGTGCCCCTGACCAAGATTTGAGTAGGCCTGTCTCTGTTCTATCAGGTAGCGCTGGGCGCCCCTGTGGCCAGTCTCTAAATTAGCCCCCTAACCTGCCCCAGCGGGGCTGCTTGTGTCCTCCATGTCAGACTCATGTGAGTTGTACCCTTCCTCGCTAACCAGCATGGGAGAGGGGACAATCCATCTCTGCCCTCACCAGTCCCTGTGACAAGTCCTTGTGGGCAACGGGGGCCCCTTCCCTCATGGTCAGGCTCCCACCTGCCTGTGCCCCAGCAAGCCCCTGTGGGTGGTCTCAGTGACCAGCCCTGTGGATAATCCATTTGTGTCCCCAGATTACACTGACAACCATCGGTTACGGTGACAAGACGCCACACACATGGCTGGGCAGGGTCCTGGCTGCCGGCTTCGCCTTACTGGGCATCTCCTTTTTTGCCTTGCCTGCCGTGAGTGTCCCTCAGTTTAGGATGGCCCAATCTGGGGGAGATGGGTCCTGGCAACAGAGCCTTCTAAGCCCCTATCCTGGATTAGTGGTGGGGGGTACCTCTGATGTGTGGAGGTGGGAGCACCTTTGCTTGTTTCCACCACCACAGTGCCCAACACTACCTGTCCCACTAGGGCATCCTTGGCTCTGGCTTTGCCCTGAAGGTCCAGGAGCAGCACCGGCAGAAGCACTTTGAGAAGCGGAGGATGCCAGCGGCGAACCTCATCCAGGTACGAGAGACCCAGGGAGCCCCTGGACTGAGCGGGTGTGTTGACTCTGTCTGCTGACTCATCAGCCCAGCTGATTCTACTTTGAAGCTCAGAGAGGAGATGGGCCATTTGGGGATCACTGTCAAGTCAGGAATAGAGCTGGGTTGCTGAGATTGTCAAAACTCCCCCCGGCTCCACATGTTCGTTTTGGGACTAACCAACTCTAGCTCTACATGCCTCAAGTTGGGTTGAGCCAGGACGAGGGGCCCTGGGTGGAGACCAGAGGGGCCCTGAGTGGAGTCCAGTCCTCTACCCATCAGTTTGCAGTCATCAGAAAGCCTGCTCCAGTCCTAACACCTTAATTGATTACTTCAGCCCATAAGCACTCACCCACATGAATGGCAGATTTGATAAATGCCTTCAAAGAAACGATTTTTTGCAGTGCATCTAATAGGGGAACTCAGGGGTGACTACCCTGGGAAAGGAGTGCAGGGTGGGCACAAGGAGGAGGTAGAGGAGAGCATGTGCAAAGGCCCTGAGTTGGAGGAGAGCACAGTGGGTTTGGTGAACTGGAAGGAGGCTTGTGAGGCTGGAACAGAAAGCTCAAGTGGATGAGGCCCAGAATGGGGATGGCAGGGAGGCATTTAACTTTTTTCTAAGAGCACCAAGGAGCCGCTGACAAGAAGTAAAGCAGGAGGAATGGGTGACATGATCACACGTTTTTTTAAAAGATTTTATTTATTTATGCATACAGAACTGGGGTACAGGCCAGAGGTGCAGGGGCGGTGAGAGGCTTCACCAAAGACAGAGTTGGGAGCAGAACAGGCAGATTGGTTGAAATACACTGCTGAGGGGAGCAGCGGGCGGGTCAGGAGGGGTCTGCCGTGCCTTGTGGGTCAGCTCCGGGACCGGGGATCGAACTCACGCTGAAGCAGCTGCGCTGGCTTGTAGAGCTGCGCTTTAGCCCGCTGCGCCACCTGGGAGGGCCATGATCAGATTTTTGCTTTGAAAAGTGGTGAGTGGATCGAAGGGTGACCTGGGTGTATAGGAAAGACCAGAGGAGAGGTTCTGGCAAGTGTGGGTGCCACAGGGTGCTGTGTGGCTTGGATGAGGTTAGCAACAGATGAGATGGAAAGACAGAGCAGATTCTGCACACTTAGGAGCTAGTTACCGTCACGTGCTATGAACGACTTCCCAGTAAGGGGTGTGCAGCATGGAGGGCCCTGTGGTAGCCTTGGGGTGCACTGAGGTTTGTGTAATCACACTCTCTGAGGTCACCCATTCACAGGATGAATCCCCCGTGTAAGTGACGCGTGACTGTCATGACATTAGGGTGAGTAGGGTGAGGGGGGTGACTGCCAGGTTTCTGGCTTGCCTGGCTGGATGGTTGGTGACCCAGCTCACTAGATTTGGGGCATGAAGAATTCGAGCGAGTTTGGCTTGGCTGGAGCACAAGTCTGAGGGGCCCCAATATGGAGGAGGCAGAAGGAAGTGCAGTTCCGCAGCTGAGCCAGCTGAGCCAAGAGGAATATTCTAGACGGATGAGTCCGAGGGGCTGCTTGAAGGCACCAGGGAAGCCCTGATCTCTCCTGGGACAGGAAAGAAGGAGGAGAGAAGGTGGTCCAGAAGTGGCCTTTCAGGAGCCTCAGCACTCAGCAGTCAGGTAGGCAGTCGAGCTATCTGAGGAGACAGAGGGGGAGCAGCCGACTGGGTGGGGAACCCAGGGAGATGTGGTCTCAGTGTCCCCACTGTGCTGAGGCAGCTTGATACCCTGGCTGAGGCGACAACTCTAATTTTTGTGACTCTGATTCAGCCTTGGCCTACCTCTAGTCAGGGGGTGTGCCAGAGAAACCCCTCTGGGAAATAGTTCAGGGAATATTGGCAGAGCCCACCTCGACCTGCTCCCCAACATGCCACTCTTTGACCCCCCCAAAATTTGTCTCACTGCCTTTATCTCTCCTCCCCAGGGTGGGCCCCCCTCCCCTCCCCTGCTATCTCCAGCCACCAGCCCAACCTTTCCTTCTCAGTGTCCCCTGAGGCACAATGACTGTGTCTCCAGGGAGCTGGCCTTCTGAGGGGCATTGTAGGGGCAGGCGGCTGGCACTGTCCATGCCGAGAGACAGCTGGTATTGTGGTGCCCATAATTAATGAGACAGCTCTGGCAGCTGCTCCCCAACCCAAGCCAGGGGCCTAAGCAAGCAGGAAGTAAAAATATTCCTGTCCTGGGAGGGTGCCCGGCTGATGAAGTCAGCAGTGGGCAGTCCCTTAAGGACAGGAGGCACCCAAAGGGGGGGCATCCAGGGCCCAGTTCTGCTTTGTCCTGCCCAGCAGCTTCCATCCCTCCCTGCCCCCACTAATTGCCCCACTCACAGTCCCTCCTTGCCTGGAGAGATAGGGCCTGCTCTTCTTCTTGTCTGACCCCCAAATCCCTTCTGCCGCAAAGGAAGCCCTGCAAGTCCATGGACACTGAGGGGCTGGGGGGGATGTGTTTTCCTTCTCTCTTCCACCCTAGGAGCAAGGACAGGAGCTGGGAGGGGTGGGGTTATTATTATTATATATAATGCACTCAGTCAGTCACTACCCAAACATTTACAGGATACCTGTTATGTGCCAGAGGATACAGCGGTCACCAAGACACAGCTTACAGTCTAGGAGAGAGTAAGACCTTAGCCAAACCACAATGAATAGATATTTATCAGCTGTGATGAGGGAGATAGCAGGAATGTTTCACGAGGGCCTTGGCATTAAGTGCCTACTATGTGCCAGGAAGTGCACTTGGCATTTCATATACATTTGCCCATTTGATCTTCACCACTCCCTGGTGATAAGTGGGGTTACATCTCCTTTCAGGTGAACGCCAAGGTGCTGCAGCTTGGATTAACTGGATCATAATAGTAAGGGGCCTATGAGCCTCAATTTTTTTAAAAAAAGATTTATTCATGCATACAAAAACTGGGGTACAGGAGCCAGAGCTGTGGGGGGGGGCATGAGAGGACTCATTAGAGACAGTGGGAGAGCAGAACAGGTGGATTGACCAAAATATACCACTGAGGGGAGCAGCAGGTGAGACAGGAGAAGTCTGCTGCGCCATGTGGGGTGCCAATTTTTTATTGAGGCAGCAATATAAACATGTGGTTTATAACAGCAAGTTGCAGGGGTACATTAAAATTCAACAATACGGCCCTCCCTGGTGGCGCAGCAGGTTGAAACAGCACTGAGAAGCTAAAGCTGCTTCCGCATGAGTTCGATCCCCACCTGCACAGGAGGGGACCACATGGTGAGGCAGACCTCTCCCGACCAACCCACAGCTCCCCTCAGCAGTGTACTTCGTCTGTCTGCCTGTTCTGCTCCCCACTCTGTCTCTGGTGAGGCCTCTCGCCGCCCCTGAGCCTCTGGCCTGTACCCCAGTTCTGTAAGCACAAATAAATAAATCTTTAAAAAAAAAAAATTCAACAATACGCTCACCAACAAGAGTCTGGCTTCCACCACCACGCAACTGACTCCCTTCTCCTCGGTAACCCCCAGTCTGTTCTCTGTCTAAGAACTTGTTCGTTCACTTTGTTTCTTTATATTCCGTGGTGAGTGAAATCACATCGTGCTGGTCTTCCTCCATCTGACTTATTGACCTGAGCAGGGGCTTCTCAGGACCCATCTTTGTTGTCACGAACAGCAAGATCTCACTGTTAGAGTTGAGCACTGTCCATTACGCATGCGCACCACATCTCTGTCCGCTCATTAGCCGCTTCCACATCCGGCTGTGATGCCTAGTGACCCTAGGGCTGTATGTATCTGTTTGAACTACTGCTTTCATGTTCTTCAGAGAAAGATCCAGAAGTGGAAGAGCTGGATCTTACGAAATCCCAGCTCTCAGCCACTCTGCTCTAAGGCGCCTGGGTTTGATACTGGCCTGCACCCATCACTCTGGGGAGTCCTTTGTCTCTCGGGCTCTGTTTCTTTGGCTGGTCTGCCAGTGCCCGTGGCGCCGCAGTTGGCCTTGGGCTCTTGGTGCCCTTCAGCTGGCCCCAGGTCAGGCCTTCTTCAGGGGCAGAGGGCCGGTGGAGGGCTGAGAAGCCTCCCTGATGTGCTCCCTTCCCAACACCACAGGCTGCGTGGCGTTTGTACTCCACGGACACGAGCCGGGCCTATCTCACGGCCACCTGGTACTACTATGACAGCATCCTCCCATCCTTCAGGTAGGTCAGCCTGGGCGTGGGGTGGGGCGCTGCCCTGGAGGGTGGGAAGCAACGATGGCCGCTCAAGGAGCACGGGGCTGGCACCACCGCAGAACCTACATAACTCAGAGCCTGGAGTGTCTCGCCCACTCTGCTCTGTCCAAGGAGGACGCTGGGCAGGGCCATGGGGTGGAGGCCTGCCCACTGGAAGAGCCCTGTGTGCTGGGGTGCTGGCCGTCCTCTAGCTCACCCATGGGTGATGCCACTGGGGACAGTGGCACAGCCAGTGTGTCTCCTCTTGGTCTGAGCTGGGTGCAGCATTGGCCCTCACCAGCCCAGCTTGTTGCTGCTGGGTAGAGAGTGTGGTGTGTGCCAGAGCTGGGTGTGAGGGCCTCAGCCCGTGTGTGCGGGATGTGCTTACTTTTACTGTGCCCAGCAGTGGTCTTGGGGCCCAGGCAGGGCTACAACGGCACAGGGGTGGCTCCCACAAGGGATTATTACTAGCATCACTAGGGTCCATGTGGCCGGGTGCCAGCCGGGCCCTCGGGCAGGAATGAAGACCGTGGACCTTGGCTCAGTCAGTCCTGTGGGCAAGAAGGGAGGCGACCGTCAAGTACGGCCGGCCAGCTGCTGTGCTCAGCGCTTCGGCGGTGGCTTTTTGCCTCATTAGTTCTCCAAGAGCAGCTGTTGTGTGATCCTGCTCACCCTTACACCTGGCTGCCCCCCCAGTCCCCGGGGCTCCCGGGGGAGGAGCAAGAGAGAAGAGGTTGGGGGGAGGAGCGGCTCCCAGAATGACACTGTCCCCTCCACCGCCATTTCTTCCCCTGGCAGAGGCAAGCTCCCATCTCAGAGATGGGGTGGTTAGGCTGGGAGCTGCCCCCCTTGCAGAAGCAGCTGTAAGGCTGCAAGGCCAGGGCTCAGGAAGTGGGGCAGGGCCGGGTATGTTGTGAGGGGAGGGAAGGCCTCCGCCTTGCATCTTCTGGTAAGGGGGACAGAGCTCGGTTTGGGCCCCTGCTCCCGGATCTGTTTCTTCAGCCTGGGGGGACAGCAGAGATCCATCCTCCCTCTCTTCGGAAACAGGAAGTAGACAGCCACCCTAGCAAGTCTCCCTTCTCAGCTCTTTGCTCCCTAAAATCCAGAGTCAGATTTGGGGGTGAGGATTTCCGGGAAAGTGCCCTTGAGCGTGCCCAATCTGTATGACCAAATTTGGTATCTCTGAGGATTTAGGACCCCAGGGTGGAAAGGGAGGGAGGAAAGCTAGTTTCCCCTGTTCTCCCACCCCCACCCTGCCTCTTCTGGGGCCTCTGGGGAGGCCGGACCAGGCAGGACCTGAGTGCAGGAGCTCAGTGCCCACTCAGAGTGGGGTGGTGCCAGTGCCCTGCCCACTGCTGATGGCGCCCTCTCCTGCAGAGAGCTGGCCCTCTTGTTTGAGCACGTGCAGCGGGCCCGCAATGGGGGTCTGCGGCCCCTGGAGGTGCGGCGGGCGCCGGTACCCGACGGAGCACCCTCCCGTTACCCGCCCGTTGCCACCTGCCACCGGCCGGGCAGCACCTCCTTCTGCCCTGGGGAAAGGTAGGGGCCCCTTGGGCCGCCACCTCCTCTTGCTTCTCCTTCTCCTCTTCCATTCTCTGTCTCCCCCTCTCTCAGACCTACCTCCGGCTACTACTTCTCTGAGCCTGTTCTGGGGACTCCTGGGCCTTGACATGAGGTCTGGGTAGTCGTTGGATGGCCTGACAGGTACACACTGAGAGCCTCTGGAGAGGCCAGGCTGGACTCACCTTCTCATCACCTGGGACTCCAGGGGTCTGAGTGGGGCGATGTCCACACCATCCTTTCCTGTCGCCTCCTCCATTCATACCATTGTCCTCTTTCTTTCTCTGTTTCCACACCCTCCTCATTGTTCCATCCCTGCACCCCATCCCTCCTGGAAAGCTGGCGAGAGGAGGAGGCCACTGGCCACAGGTGCTTACGGCTCAGGTAATCGTGGGCACCATTCTGGGGAGTGAGGGCGGGGAACCCCCGCCCCCAGCATGTTCCTCTAGAAGGGGCTCAATCCTGAACCTGGCCCTCAGGAACCAGATGCCAGCTGGAGAGAGCTCTGTGACTAAGACCCGCTGTAGGACCTACGTGAATGCAGCCAGGGATAATGCTCCTGTCTTGCGCGGCTCTTGTCCACAGCTTGCTAGTCCCAAAGGTTCTTCTGGGATACTCCCACAATGCCTTTCTTCCTCACTGAGATACATTTTGCTGCTCCTGACAGTCACTTTCTCTTTGACCTGTCTCTAAGAAGAACAAAGAAAGAACAACACTTACCCTCACGTTACTGCTTATACATAGTGAAAGTTTTGGCATGTTTGGGCAAAGGAAGCCTGTTTATTCAGTGTGGGAATTGGCTACTCCTGCAAGGAATTTTGAGGTCAAAGAGTCAACCCCCCTCATCCGTCCCCTGCCCATCCCCATTGCTTTGTTTTTGCCTCATTGTCACACATCATTCCTGAATCAGCCAGGTGGACATCTGAGCCTTGAGTCTCAGGTGTGATTCTGCGCCCTGGGCCCAGAATGTGGGGTGGGAGAAAAGGTGACTCACTCGATGGTCAAGGAGGAGGTGTGGTGAGAGCCTGTCCCTGCCACTGATGCTGTGTGGCCTTGAGAAAATTTTCAAGTCACTCTGAGCCTCTAGGTCCTGGGCAGAAAATCAGCAATGTTTAGGCGAATCAGGACTCCGTACTGTGAGTTTCTAGGCTCGTGAGGCCTGGGACATGGGGAAGAGGCAGTTTGGGTGCAGAGGATGCCGGGAGCGAAATTCTTTCTGTATTCCCAGCAAGGGCACTTCTATCCAGGGGCTGAATAGAAGTAGGAAGGGGGGGAGAGGGAGAGCCCCCTCAAGTCTGGGGCTGGAGGGTGGGACGCCTGACCAGCTGGGAGCCCTCTGGAAGAAAAGTCTACGGTGTGGACCCGCTTGGACCCTTGGCTACTCCCCGAGGCCTTTGCTGTTACTCTAGCCCCACCCGACCAGAGCTGACAGACTGAAATGCCACACCTGTGGCTTTCCACAGCCCTGGCCTGTAGTTCTGATCTCTGACCAGCTGGCTCCGCTACCACCCTGATGAGAAAGTGCTGGGAATGGACATGAGTCGGAGTGTAGCACCTGTAGCACCTCACAGCTGCTCTGGGCCTCTAGATGCCCCAGGGCCTAGATTTCTGCTGAGGGCGTGGCCCAGCCTCACGTCTGTCCGCTCTGGAGTGTGCGTGGTTGGGCTCCATGGTAGATGAGTGTACAGTGTCCTCGTTCCCCAGGGGCTCTGGGGGCTGCCCACTAGGAGATGGTCTCTCGGCCACGGGTGGGTACTGCAGACAGGCGCCCCCTCGCCCACCCCGCCTGCTTGACCACACACTTTGTGGCCACGCGTGTTCCCAGGATTACCGGAGCTGACTTCCTGGGGGATGGCGTGTCGAGGTCAGCTTCTCTGCGGTTTTGTGAGGAGTGGTGATACTGATCCCTGCACCAGTGTCCTGTGGGGCTTTCCACGATGTACATTTCCGGACCCTCTCCCTTAGTCCACAGAATCAGAATCTCTGGAGGAGAGGCACAGAATCCTGCGGTTTAACACAGTCCCCAGGAGATCCTCCCACGACGCTGAGAACCCTGCCGTGGGGATCTGCCTGGAGGATGACTTGGGTGGGGTCTTTTCTCCCCCAGACACTGGAGTCGGCCCCATGCTCTGACCGCTTGCCTCCTTCCCACTAACCTCTGTTCGTGTCTTGTTCTCAACTTTCCAGCCAGATGTTTAGTAATAAGCGGAGTTTCTTTCGGATCCACGCCAGCTGGAGACCGAGGTACCCCCTCGCCTGCTCTTCCTGTCCCTGCTCCTCCTGGCCCCATCCAGTTCCGGGGCTGGAGAGGGGGACAGGATGGGCCAAGGACAAGGTGCATGTGCCTGCCGCCTGCCGTCTGCCTTGGGGCCCCTGCGAGCACCCTCCCTTCCTGGAGCTGCCTCTGCCAGGCCTGGGCGTGGCCGTTCTGCCAAGAGGGACACTGGCAGAAGCCTGGGCATGATTCTGGCTCTGCCCCTGAGCTCCTGTGCGATCTTGACCACGTGGTTTCCCTTCTCTGGACCTCAGTTTCCCATCTGTGGTGTGGGGAGATTGAACTAGAGGCTCTCTGAGGCGCCTTCCCCCTCTGACCTATGGATGCCTTGGTTTGGCATCCTGGCTCGCCTCTGCCCACTTCAGGACGGAGCAGATGCCTGAAGGAGCTGGGATAGGCCCCTCCTTCACCAACTCCTGGTCTCTGGCTTCTAACTGCGTCACCACTGCATACCTGCCTGTGCCAGGCCCTGCTGGAGAATGCAGTGGGGAGTCAGTTGCTGTTGAGCTAGAGGGGTGAGACAAAAGGAAGAGGCGGAGGGCCGGGCCGTGGGGCCTGCATCAGCACTAGAAGGCCCCAGAGCAGGCACTCTGCGCCAGGATGAAGAGGGGAGGGAGCACAGCTGTGGGAAAGGAGCACCCCCCACCCCCAGATCTGAGGCAGGGGTCAGGAACCCAGGGGGGGGGCTGGTGCCCAGCGTGAGCCTCTTCCTGTTGAACTCTGGACAGCCTGGGCTCACGAGTCCTGGGTTTCTCGAAAGTACCTCTGGAACCCCGTGGGTCCGGGACCCATGGGTAAGAGGTGAACAGGGGTTCTACCAAGAGGCGGTGTTCTTAGAAATGTGGGCTCTGGACCCAGACCCATGGCCACTCCCTAGCCTGAAGGCCTGGGCATTGGCCCTCTGTGCCTTGGTTTCCTCAGATGTAAGATGTGGATGATGACGGATGTTTCCACTGGGCCTATGCCGGCTTACAGGAGGTGTAGACGTTGTTCTCATTTGATTTGGCATTTTGAGCAATGAACACCTTACCTGCTTTAAGAAAACAACTTGGGAACCGGGACCATAGGTGATAGGAACACACTAAGGGCTAAGCGGCGGGGCCTCTGGGTCCGGTGACTTTGGCATGTGTGGGCAGGAAGGGTAAGGCCTGGGTGAAAAACCAGCGATGAGGATGCTTCCGCAGGGCTGAGGGGAGGCTGCTACTGTTTGCCCTGAGCTTGGCCTCTGGCAGGCAGATGCTGAGTCCTCACAGAAATGGCTTGTGGACGTGAGCACAGAGGTCGGTCCAGCGGGGCCATCGGACCCTCCCCCGGGATGGCCGCACGAGCCCACGCCATTCATCTCTTGAGGCACTAACCGGCCACTTAGGTCGGTTTCTGGACTTCGACAGCATTGACACTGTGTGTGGGATAACTCTTTGTTGATGGGGGTTATCCCGGACATTGCGGTAGATTTAGATACCCGGTATCCTGGACACTGGGATCCCCCTCGTGTGACTACGCCGGTGCCTCCAGGCACTGCCAGTGTCCCCGAGTGAGCAGGCGCACCCCTAGAGGAGAACCACTGCTCTGGACTGCATCCTGAGCGCTTGCTCAGAGAAAGGGCACAGTCTCTGAGAGAACTGGCTTCCCGTCCTGGCTCCGTGCAAGCTCTGTGACCTTGGGCGAGTCATTTCACCTCCTTCCTGTCCATAAACTAGGGATGGCAAAATACAGAAGCGACCGTGGGAGAAGTGAGGTGGCTGAGAGGTGGTGAGCAGAGGCAGCCAAGAGGACCCCGGTGTTCTGAAGGGGCGGGGAGATGAAGCACCTCTTTCCGTGTCTGTCATGGGCCAGGTTTCTGCCCATTTTCTTGAGTGTTTAGGCTCCAGAGTCTGGTGTGAGCCGCTTTCTGAGTCCTGCCCAAGGAGTTGGAATTCAGAGAACCCCCTGGGAAAATTAGTGTCTTCTTATATTGAAGAGGAGCCTGGGGCCTCTGGCTGGCTGGAAAGCTCCAGAACCCCACGAACCAAGCTGGGAGCTCCTTCAACCATCACAGACTCAGAGCCGGAAAGGGCACTTTCAAGGCCTCTAGTGCAAGCCCCAGACCCTGCCTCTATCGCTAAGTGCAAGCTCAGCCTTGTTTGCACACACCCCCCGACATGGAGGGTCCCTCCCCCCAGAATGCCTTTGGGACGATGAGGAGGGCACAGAAATCTGGAGTTCCAGGTCTTTGGCCAAGAGTCAGAACTTCTCCCCTCCTCTGTACTCTTCTCCCTTGGAGGAGTCAAGGATGGAGGGACGAAGGAGGGGTTGCACGGACTGGGTGGGGGGGTGCCTGCCAGCATGAGGAGAGCCCACGGAATGGCTCTGCAGAGGAAAGTTTGGGAGCACCAACCTCAAACTTTGGTTGGAATCTTTGAGATGTGTTGAGGGGACCCAGGCCAGCAAACAGCATGCTGGGTTGCTGGGGCTTGTTTTCCCTTCTGATGCCCTTAGGGCCCCTTGACTTATGACCTCTCTCCTCTGGGTGGAGGTAACTACCCCTAAGGATGGACCTCTATCCTGGCTGCCCTCCTGAAGATGCCTCTGATTTTGAGGTCCCCCTCACCTTGGCATCTGGACTCTTTACCCTGTACCCCATGCCCTGGGCATGGAGGACTCCAGCTCTCACCCTGCCCTGAAGCCAGAATCTGTCCTCTGTTCAACATCTGGGTTGAAAGTCCTCAAGAGCAGGTGACACGGTCTCCTTTCCCAACCTTTGCTCCACCTCAAGCCTTCTGGGGTTGGGCTGGTGTGGCCCCAAGCCAGGGCCCCAGACATTTGGGGTGGAGAGCCCCAAATATGTCTGCAAACCACAACAGGTGCAGCAGCAACACCTCAGGGCATGGGATGGGACACGTTTCCTAGGTCCTAATCAAACAGCCAGAACATGGTCCTCAAACCTCTTGGACACAGAGTTACTCTACCAGGTATTGGTTAACCAGGGCCTGTTCTGGGGGACCTGAGGCCTCCTCTCCCTGTCTTCCTCCAAGGTTTGGGGGATGTGGTAGGGAACAGGAACAGAAGTGTGGGGTGCAGGAACAGAAGTCTGAGTGCACACGCAGGCATGCCCAGGTGTGCCCACGTGTACATGATCCTTTGCAGGAGCAGTTGAACTGGGGGCTCAGAGGCAGTGAGTGGAGGTCTGGGAGGGGACTCCATGGCCACATGGGCTGGGTGTCGATCCAGTCAGCAGGGGACACCAAGAATAGCTGATCAGGGACCTTCCCTGCGGCAGGCGGCAGGAGTGTCTGGGCATATGTGGGCCCAGCTGCAGGGCTCTCAGGACCGAGACCCTTGGCAGGCCGCACAGCATGCTCCGGAGCACCTTCCCCGCCAAGTGTGTGGTGTGGACACCTCAGGAATGTTGCAGTGTGCTGCTGGCACAACCATACCAGTTTCTAAGCCTCAGGCCCTACAGACAAGTGTAAGATCGGGTCTCCGTAGCAGTGGGGAAGGGGGAATAAATGGCCATATATACACACACGCCGCACAGGTGTACCTGTGCGGTACCTGAGCTGGGTACCGTGGGCACCACACTGGTACCACACACTGGTGCCTGTGTGCCAGGCTGTGGCACACGCACAGCCCATGAACTCCACTTGGCCTGCTCCCCGGTACGGTGAAGAGCTAGAGGCACCTTCGCATGGCCAGGGGAGCTGCTCCTCCTCACAGCCTGTCTGTGCCCCAAGGGGTCGGCACCCCACCGACCCACTTGCGCCAGGCCCAGCTTCCCCACCCTCCTCTCTGTCTGTGATGCCAGTCTTGGGTTTCTCTTACTCTGTCCACTCTGACATCTGTCTTCTGTGCACCCCTTATATGTCTGGGAAATGAAGGGTGGGAGATGGGGGGAGGGAGTCTGCTTCTCATAGGAGTCAGGGCCCCCCCTTACCTCGTTCCAGCCCAGAAAGTCCCACTTATTGGAGTAGCCACCCACAAATCCTAATTCGGTGGTATCCCCGCTCACGCCCAGCCCCGCCCCAGCTAACTTGGCTCTTTCCCCCATCCGACCTGCCCTGCAGCAGCCGGATGGGCATCAAAGACCGCATCCGCATGGGCAGCTCCCAGCGGCGGACAGGCCCCTCCAAGCAGCACCTGGCGCCTCCGCCCACGCCGACCTCCCCGAGCAGCGAGCAGGTAGGCGAGGCCTCCAGCCCCACCAAAGTGCAGAAGAGCTGGAGTTTCAACGACCGCACCCGCTTCCGGGCCTCTCTGAGGCTAAAGCCCCGCGCGTCTGCTGAGGGTGAGCCCCTGGGGGCCCGGGGCGAAGGAGGCAGGGTGCGGGCAGAGTCTGGGCCGGGGCAGGGAGGAGACCCGGGTCTGCAACTGGTTCATCGTCTTTGGCACTGGCCTTCTGGTCTGTCAAACGGGCACTGCCAGAGGCCTCTTGCCGATGTTTGAGAATCAGTCGAGGCTGTGAGGGTGGCACTGGGTGGTGGGTAAGAGCACAGGCCCTGGGGGCAGGCTGCCTGAGTTGGGCTCCCAGTTTTGCCACTTTCTGGGGGACACATACCTAATCTCTCTGGACCCCATCTTCCTCATCTGCAAAACAGGGACAGTGATATCGCATAAGGCCAAGTGAGCGTTTATCCATGGAGGTGAACAGGAGGGCTTGGGGAGTGCAGTGAATGCTCAGAAAACTGGCTGTGCACAAAAGTGTTTGGAAGATGCTAGGCAGGATGGGCGCTGGGTCTTGGGTTTCTCTTCCAGTGGCCCTGGGAGGCAGGTTCTGTTTTTACCCCCGATTGGCAGCCTCCCCAGGTGAAGACAGCGTTCGCAGGCAGTAAGTGGCCGAGCTGGTACCCTCTGACGGTCCTCCGGCTCCCGGGCCCTCCTGCCCGGCCCTCTTCACGCAGCCCTCACAGACATGTGCTGAGAACCTGCCTGGGGGTCACTTGTTCTGAGTTCTGGCTCTGCTCCAGGGATGTAGGCAAATGCCGCCTCAGTGTCTTATGGAAACAGCCTGTGGAGGGCTTTGCCCAGTTCTGACATGCCCCAGGCCTCTGGGCGGGAAAAGGAGGGTGGGCACAAAGCCCCCTTGACCCAGAAGGGGAGGGCCCAGCCGTGATGCCTGTCTGTGCAGCGTCGCCCCGAAGTGCTGCTGGCAGACAACTTGGACAGCCCTTCCCTGGAAAGTTACAGACCCTCACTGACCTGCCTGAGAGGTGCTGACCCCCCGCCCCTGGGCATGGCTGCTGTCCAAGAACTGCTGGGCCTGCCCCACTTCCTTCCTCTGTGGGCCAGGAGAACATCAGCAGCCTCAGGGGAACAATTTTATCTGGGGCAGGTTGATTTGCTTTTGGGGTCTTCCCCAGCAGCAGAGCTGGGCCTGGGAGCCAGCCTGGGTTCTTCCCTTGAGTTCCCCTCCCTCTTGACTGAAGGGTAAGATGGTGCACGTGACCCTATCCAGGCCGCACACCCCTCTTCTCTGGGGCTCACTGGAATGGTGGGACCCTGGGGCTTGCTCCGGGGCTGCATGCAGGTTGTACCCTAGAGCAGCGCCTCGTACCTGACCTCTCGGTGCTGACCACAGGGCAGGTGGGCATGCAGCAGGCTGAGGGTTTGGGCCCTGGGTAGGCATCCAGGGAGAGAGCAGCCTGGTCTGTCTTCGGCCCCAGGAAGTTTCTGGGACCTTTCTGGGCCTGTCTCCCTCTTCGTACTTCTAAGTCTGGCTCCACGTGTGGGGTTAGGGTTTGGGAGCCTCCCATCTACTGCCACCACCTGGGCCCCCCTAACTTTCCAGAGGGTCCCTCAGAGGAAGTGGCAGAGGAGAAGAGCTACCAGTGTGAGCTGACGGTGGACGACGTCATGCCTGCGGTGAAGATGGTCATCCGCTCTGTCAGGTGAGGCTGAGCCCCGGCGTGAGCCCCCACCCCCTGCCACCCACTGCTGCTCCCTTCTGGGCCTGCCCTCATGGCCAGACCTGGGCCGGCTCCCGGACACACCAGCAGCTGCCCACCTGGCACCCTTGGTGAGGTTGACTGGCAGGGACCCGGGTGCTTGTGTGGCTGGGAGGTGGCCTCTGGCTCCAGCAGGCTGTGCTCACAGTCGTGTCCAGGGGGCTGGCTGGGTAGGGCGGGGCACAGCTGCCCATCCCCAGCCCTCTTCCCATACCCGCACTGTCCCCTGCTCCTGTCCCCTCCCCTCTCTCTGGCCGGCTCTCCTCCTACTCTGGCTGTGTGCAGCATCTGCCCGGCCGCCTGGCCTCGCCTGGGAGCCCTTACCCTCCATCTGTGCCTCAGACTGGCTCTCCTGCCTCTGGGTCTCCAACTCCGTCTCTCTGGCCTCTTGGCCTCAACCTGGCTGTTCCCCTGCGGCCTCCTCTAGAGCAGTGCCCACATCACAGACCATTCCACAGAGCACTTGGAATCAACTTAGTGAAATCAATGAGCTGAGCCTTAAAAAAGGACATTAAAAAAAAAAAAAAAATAGACGGTGCCAGAGTGCCTCCGCCATGGTCAGGGTAGATCGTGTTTCGGAAACATGCTTCAGTTTGTGTATGCACTGTATTCTGGTTCCTGGTACAAAGTATTTCCCAGGTGGGCCTGTGTCCCTGACTGGACAGCGAAGGGAGAACCGGCGTCTCCTGGCTCATCAGATCCACCGGTGCACCTGGCCTCCGCCCCCCAGGCATGGAGCCTTGGCCTCGCTGCCACCTGCAGCCAGAGCGCTAGCTCGAGACCCCCTCCAGCCCCAGGTCCCCTGACCCTCCTGCTCCCTTCCCTGTCTGAGGTGCCTGCCCACAATCCTCTCTGGAACCCAGCCCCAGCGTCTGAGGCCTGCGCCACCCCAGAGCTAGTCACTCCAATCCAGGTGGCCAGCTTCTGCAGTCACATGCGCTGCCCTGCGATGCTCCCTCCCAGTGACCGGTGTCTGGCACAGGGCTTGAGCTGCCTCCCAGCCCAGGTCAGCTCTCCCAAGCCATCCCAAGACACCCCACACCCAGCATGCCCCAAACCTCCTGTTTCCCACCATGTCCCCATTTCAGGCAGAGGCCCTACCATCGCCCCTGCTGACCAAGCCACCAGAGTTTCCCAGCTCGCACTCAGGAGCCTCCTAGTTCCACCCCCACGCCACTGCACAGCCCGGCGTGGCCCGTCCCCTGCCCCTCGAGGGCACCCTCCAACCCTCCACACAGGCTGGCAGACAGTCATCTAAGGCAGAGTCACCTCTGCTCCATTGCCCAGCGTCCCATTGCCCAGCCCCTGCCAGTGACTCAGGGCTCCCCCCGGGCACCACCTCCCAGCCTCCTCTGGCCCGTCTCTTTCCCTGTCTCTCATAGCACCCCTTCCTTTCCCCCAACTCCTGGCCTCACGTCCTGCTCAGGCTTCTTTGAACTAATCTCACACACCTCCCTGCCTATGTTCCTTCATGCCCCTCCCCCCGCCCTCAACCTAGAAGTCTCAAGACTTGTCCCCTGACCTCCCCAGATGAGGCCTCCCTTCTCATGGGCCCCAGCCCCCTTCTCAAGGGCCCCAGCCCCCTTCTCAAGGGCCCCAGCCCCCTTCTCATGGGCCCCAGCCCTCTTCCTCTACTCCTTGATCATGCCCTGGTCCCCCACCATTGTGTCCTGGTAGTCTCCCAGCACAGACCCAGGCTCCTGAGACCATGGATTGGACCTGATGGCCTGGCACCCAGGGTCCAGCTCAGCGGTTCTGAAAGTACCTGTGGAGTGAACACCTTCCTCCACAGGGTCCTCAGCTGTGTGTGTCCCCCCACTCTTGCCCCCCAGGCACAGCTAGGGAACATTAAAAAAATACGTGCAGGGAGGGGTAGGAGCATGGTGGGGAGGAAGGAAGGGTGGGTGACTCAGGAGAGGCTGTTCTGTGGCCCGAGCAGGAGGGTCTCTGTTGCTGGACAGGGGCAGCAGAGACAGAGGGGCTGGATCAGAGTCCCCTGCTCAGCCTCAGAAAGCAGGGCCTGCCCCTGACATCCATATCCCCACCAGGATTCTGAAGTTCCTGGTGGCCAAAAGGAAGTTCAAGGAGACGCTGCGACCCTACGACGTGAAGGACGTCATTGAGCAGTACTCAGCAGGGCACCTGGACATGCTGGGCCGAATCAAGAGCCTGCAAGCCCGGTGGGGTCATCTGCCAGAGGGGGAGCGGGAGGCTGTGGCCCCAGCACCCTCATTAATTCTGTGCAGTCTATCCCCCCTCCCCTGCTCCCCAACGGGGCCCCGTAGTGGATGTGGGGAGCTAAAGTTTCTCACCTTGGCAAGGCCCCTGGCTTGCAGGTCAGGACTGAGGCCGCACCTGTCAAATCTGAGAAAAACAACAGGTCCTCTGTGCAAACCTGTTGACCGGCACGCCTGGGGGATGTCTTTAGAGTGCCTCTTTCCTGGCCCTAAAACAATAGGCCTAAAATAAACCATGACCTCCCATCTCCCAAGGGGACAGGAAAATTGTCCCCAGTGGTGTATACCTTTTGCCTCTGGAGTCTTTCTGCACCTCTTCTCTCCATCCAGCATACAGGAAGAATTCTTTCACGAAGATCCCTAGATGCTGTGCTGATAATGGCCTTTAAAGGGGCACTGGGCGGAAGTAGGGAGACCAGCAAGGGGCTACTGCAGATGTACAGGCACGACGTGACGGGGCCTGGATCTTGGCCCCTTCTCTTACCTGAATTTGCACTGCCCATTCATTCATTTGTTCTCTCAAGAAACAAGCATTGGGCATTTGCTAGCTGCAGACATTGGGGTATAATGGAATGTAAAACAGAATCCCTGGCCTGTGGGGCTTTCATTCTACTGGAAGGAGAACAGATGATAAACATGTGAATCTAGAAAATGTCAGGTGATGGTAAAGGCTGAGGAGGAAAGTGAGGGTGAAGGTGGAGAGCTTTGCAGTTTTAAATAGATGCGAAGGTGACACCTGGAGTTAGCCCGCCGGCTGTTTAGGCTGTGAGATGGGCAGGTGGCTGGCTGTGGGCGAGGAAGAGCGGGAAGCCCAGTGTGTCTGCTCTGGCGTGAGGAGTGGGCGGGCACTTAGACTGTGCAAAGCCCCTTAGACCACTCCAAAGACTTTGGCACTCATCTGGGGGTGAGATGCAAGTATCGGAGGGTGGTGAGCAAAGGACTGACAAGATCTGAGTCCATTTTAGGAGGGGTTACCCTATGTGCTGTGCTGATAATGGCCTATAAAGGGGCACAGGGTGGAAGTAGGGAGGCCAGCAAGGGGCTGTGCAGATTTCCAGTCACGACGTGACGGGACCTGGACAGAGAGGCAACAGCAGAGGTGGGGAGAAGTGGTCAGATTCTGTACACATTTCACAGGTAAAGCTGACTGGGCTTTCGAATGGAGTGTAAGAGGGGGCAAAAATCAAGGGTGAAGTCGCTTTGGCGTGAGTGAAAGGAAAATGTTTTCATTTATTGACATGGAGAAGGCAGCAGCAGAGCAGGTTCCCATGGAGAGAGCTGGGTGTGCTGCATCTGCAACTCCTATCAGACCTCGAAGGGGGTTCTGAGCAGACAGGGTGTGCAGCTTGGAGGAAAGGTAAGGGGTGGAGATAGAGATCTGGTGTCAGGTCTGGAGGAGATCATCCCTAAGCGAGTGGGAGGGAACAGAGAAGAGGCCTCAGGAGAGTGCTGGGCCCTGCAGTGTTTAGAGGCGTAGAGATACATGAGGAACCAGCGAAGGAGACAGGATGGCTCTGAGCAGGAGGACCCGAGAGGGTGCTGTTCAGGAATTCAGGTGAACAAGGGGCCCTCGGGCCTCAGATGCACTTAGCACTGCTGACAGTCGCACTGCAGTGAGGAGAGTGGATCCTCAAGTTAAGGCCAGCTGACATTTCACCACTGCTGAAATGGGGGGAGTAGAGGCCTAATGGAATGATTGAGAGAGAAAGGGAGGAGAGCGACTGCAGACCTGGATGGAGAATTTCACTAATTTCTCTGTAAAGGAGAGCTGGACACTAAGTGGGACCAGTGCCAGCCTTGCCCGCCCACTACATTCCCACCTGGGTTTCACCCCCCTCCCCACCCAGTCCCCCATTTCCATCAGGTGGTGGTTTGCCATACCCATGAATGGTGTCTCTGATCAGTGATGGAGGAACCTTCAAAACAGTGGCCAGGTCCCTCCATCCAACCCTGTCTCCCTCTATTTGGCATGGAAAAAAGCCCCATCCTTTGGCTAGTCCCTTCCCACCGGTGCAGGTGACAGAGACACAAATGAGCGGGGCAACCAGAAGCTTTTGTGGAAAGGGAGGTCTCATATGCCCAGGACTTTGACGGTTCTGATTCCTTTCCCCCAAGAGTGGACCAGATCGTGGGCCGCGGGCCCGGCGACCGGAAGACGCGGGAGAAGGGCGACAAGGGGCCCACGGACACGGAGGCGGTAGATGAAATCAGTATGATGGGGCGCGTGGTCAAGGTGGAGAAGCAGGTGAGTGTGAGATAAGAGTTCCACTGGTGTGAGGAGCTGGTCTTCGATCTAGAAGCTCTGGATGGTCGCGGGGAGAAGCTCAGAGCCACTGCCCAGAGTCCCCTAGCAGGGCCTAGCAGTCCCCAGCTTCACCCACCGACCCAGCAGGGAAGCATGCCTCCCAGGAAGCCTGCTCTACAGCACCCTAATAAATCCACCGCCTGCCAAGCCCCAACTGGGTTACTACAGATTCAGATAAACCCCGTCTAAGTCTCACCCACTCATCCCAAGCCCCGCCCCC